CACACACACACACACACACACACACACACACACACACACACACACACGCACACACACACACCACACATTAAAAAAAAATGCGATTTTTGAACGTTTTAGAACATTCTGAACACATTGACATCGAAAACTAAAAAAAACTTTTTTTTGGTCTTTTCTATTTCTATTTTTAAGAATTGCTTAATTCCAGCTTTATACGTGATCAAAGGTCCATATATGAGGTTTACGAAAACAAAGTTTTCTTAATAAAAAAGCAAAAAGAGATTAAAATCGATAAAGAGTCAATAGTGACATCTCCTTGTAAGTCGCAGATTTCTATAATCTTAATTTTATCTTTCTAATAAAAGGGTTAAAATAGAATGACAATATATTTTATAGAAAGTTTTGTCTATTTCATAAAATATTTATTAATATATTTGTTCTTTTTTTTTTTTAATTTTTATTTCCATTCGCTGATATTTTTGGTGAAGGTGTAACTGTTCTCCTCTTAAAAAATATCTCCCAATTTGAAGGGAAACATTCTCGAATTATTTACATGTACTTATATTGCCTTGACTTGTATCTATAATAAAAACAAAAATAAAATAAAAATAACATTTGTTTTGACTTGATTTAAAATTGGCTTTGACTTGGATTGAAATTGGCTTTGACTTAAATTAAAATTGGCTTTGATTTGAATTGAAATTGGCTTTGACTTGGATTGAAATTTGTCTATTTCCATTTCTATTTCCACAGAATTAAGCTTCAATTTTGTCCTATATTTCGAGCTCGTCAAATGGATCTTCTTTTTCCCGTGAATCGAATAAATCGTTGTTCCGTCGCTCGAATCAGTATTTCAATCTATCCTGTGAGTTGACGCGGACCCCTTTTCTTTAGGTTTTATACCTTTTTTCTTTGTAATACAGGCATTTTCTACATGACCCTCTTTTTTACAATAATTGCACTTAGCATTTTTGAAAAAACATTTATCCGGTGTGTGATTTGACTTCCCGCTACGAAAACATGACTTTTGTTCCTGTTTTGTATTCTTATTTTGTTCATTTCCTTGTTTCTTTTACCTTTTGAATCTACCTTCCTTACCGACTGCGCATCGGATTTTTTGTAGTAACTCATCCGTTCCTTCGATACTACTCCCAATTTCGAGAGCTTTGGATAATGTCAGACCAACCTTATTGTCCTTTGTCAGGGTTTCTTCTTGTCGTCTGCACAGATAACGCTGCAATTCCTTGTCACGGATCCCCGCGACGAGCCGATCGCGCAGCATCATGTCTAAATGGAGTTTTTCTTCTGTACCACCGAATTTGCATTCTTGCGCAAGTTTCCGTAACTCGCGCTCGAACTCCAGCAGATTCTCGCCCTGTTTTTGATCACGTTTTTGAAGACGAACTCGTCTTAGAAGTTCATTAACTGGTTTACAAAAATGGGCTTGGCATTTTTCTTTAATTTGTTCATACGTTACCGAGCTCGGCGTTTCCGGAGCAATGAGATTTTTAATTGTCTCATAAGTTTTCGCCCCCACCGCCGTAAGCAACGTACAACGTTTACCGCTATCTGTTGTTATCCTGTTTGCTTCCGTGAAAAATTCGAACCTCTCGATGTAGCTGTTCCAAATTTCCTTTCCCGCGTCGAACTCGGATAATGGCACAGCGTTTTCGTCAGCGGAAATAATTGACACAATGTGAATAGGAGAGGCAATTAGAGCCAAGCGCGGTAATCAAAGCGCAAACAATTTATAAAAATAAATATATATATATTAACGTACGTTTCGGCACATTATTCGTGTCCTCTTCAGCGTTAAAAGTTACATAAAGTCAAATACGAAGATTTACAAGCATAATCAAAAAGAAGTCGAGTATAAGGCGTAGTCAATAGACGAACAAAGTATAAAAGACGCAGTCAAAATTAAAAAAAAACAAGGATTGAAATCCTATGGATGTACCGTTGCCGAAATTCCAGATACGCCGGTAAGCACTCGCTCCACATCCCTCGCATCTTAGAAACAATCTCGCCAGGTTGAAAGACCAGGTGGGTAAGAAAGATTCGAAAGCCCTACCTGTATGTACCATCAAACGGAGTCGCAATGTGGTAAAGGCGTAAATTATCTATGTTAAAATCAGATGACTAATGGATTTACTTACAGAGCAATTGCAGACCGGAATATCGCATTGTAACAACAAACTTCACGGATTCGAAACGTCGCGAATGAGTGAGGCATAGGTGGGAAGGTTAACATAATAGAGACTGGTGTATAAACCAGAGGAGGGGATAAACTCTCGCATAAAGTTGTTCTAAATTTTAGACAGTCTCTCGATCACATTTAAATACGCGTCCGGTAAACCCTCCGCATCGGTCTGTAAATTCAAACCATTCGCCTGCCTTTTTATGCATATCATCTCCGAAATCAAACGTTTATAACAATAGGATTCATTATCTAAGATTTCAACGCTATTCCAATCGAAATCATGATTCCATTCTAATCTATGTTCAGTTATGACAGAATGATTCGGAGTACTCCAATTAATATGATTACGATGCTCCTTGATTCTTGTTTGCAATTGCCTACTCGTTTGGCCCACATAAGAAGCGTCGCAATCATTACAATTCACCTTATAAACCACGTTACATTTATTCGACCGTGGGAGACTATCCTTGTGCGCCTTGATGAATGTACGCATCTTATTTAAGCTGTTATAAGACAGTCACATTCAAATCCCTTATGGCGTTCCTAAGCTTTTCAGTAATCATCGGGACGTACGGTAAAGTGAAAAAAGGAGTAACCTCCTCTTCATTCTGTCTCACATTCGTATTTGAGTCTCTGTTAAACAGAAACTTAAGACGTCCGGAATAATTGAGACGGAAATAATTGAGTTCTATGAGAAAAATGGCATCAAATATCTCCACATAGCTCCTTATAATCCGCAAGCCAACGGCCAAGCTGAACGAATGGTTCAAATTACAAAGAGGTCGTTAAAAAAGCTTGCAGAAGGAGACTGGGAGATGAATAAGCTGTGTCGGCTATTGTTCAAACAACACACGACACCGTCATCAACAACTGGAAAAAGCCCAGCAGAGGCACGATGTCATCTACCAAGAGGGGAGAGATGTCGAATACTCGCGTGGCTGTCGAGGGCAGCACCATTCGATCGCGGCGCCATTCACCACTTCCTCACTTCCTTGCTTACGAGAATGTCGGAGTAACGTGTAAATAAATAAAGCATTTATATCCACTTCGGGTGTAATTATTCAGTTCCTATCCAGCAAAAGACACAACAAAATTGACTTTAACTTGAATTGAAATTAACTTTGACTTATTGAACTGAAATTTGACTTTGATTAAAATTGGCTTTGACTTTAATTTAAATTAATTTTGATTTGGATTGAAATTGACTTTGACTTGAATTAAAATTAATTTTAACTTAGATAGAAATTGGTTTTGACTTGGACTATTTAATTAAAAAATTAACTTTAACTTGGACCATTTAATTGTAATTGATTTTGACTTGAAATATTTTTGAATTGACTTTGATTTATATTGTTGAATTAAAATTGACTTAAATTTAAATTATTAGATTGAAATAAAGTTTTACTTAAATTTTTATATTAAAATTGACTTATTGATTTGAATTATTAGATAGAAATTGTTTTTAATTTAGATTGAAATTGACAAAGGGGGTGGTGGTGAGAAGAGAGGGACAATAGCGGAGGAAGAGAGGTGGGTGGAAAAGACGGACTGGTCGGAAGAGGCAAGAGAGAAGTTTTGAAGAAGGACGGAGGAGGTAGAAATAGGTAGGGAAGCAATAGATAAAGAGGTCGAAAAGTTGACAAAAAGAATTAAGATGGAAGCAAGGGTGAGAAGAGTAAAAAGAGGGGCAAAAGGAAAGGGAGTATGGTGGGATGGGGACTGTAGGAAGAGGGAGGAGATAGAAAAGTTATTAAGAGACTGGAAAAGAGGAAGAAAACACAAAGAAGATCATAAGAGAAGACAGAAGGAGTATAAGGAAAAGTGTGAGGAAAAAAGAAAAAAAAAAAGAGAAATCTGCTGAAAGAGGCAAGAGAGGCGAGAACAGAGAAGCAGGTGTGGGCAGTAATAAACAAGGAAAGGAGAAGAAGGGAAGAAATTAATAAGGAGGTAACAATAGAGAAGTGGGGTAAATACTTTAGGGAGATGTTAGAAGGAACGGAATACAAGCGAAGGCTAGGAGAAGGAGAGGAGGGTGAGCAGGGGGCGAAGGGGGAAATGGAGAAAGAGAAGGCGATAGGATGGGAGGAAGTAGAGAGAGTGCTGAAAGGGCTGAAAAAAGGTAAAGCGGCGGGAGAGGACGAGATAGGAAATAAAGTGTGGAGTTATGGGGGAAGTGGTTTAAGAAAGGCGTTATGGAAGAGTATGGAAAGGAGAGGGTTTTCCAGAGGCGTGGAGGGACGGAGTAGTCGTTCCGATAGCAAAAAAGAGGGGCAAAAGGGGTGAGTAAGCATAAAGGGATTACGCTGATGCTGACGGCGTACAAAGTGTACGCGTCGATATTAGCAAATAGGTTGAGGGAAGAGATGGTGGAGAAGGGGATGATTCCAGAAAGCCAAGCAGGGTTTAGGAAGAGGAGAGGAGTGGTGGACAACATTTACACACTAAATTATGCGATAGGGAAGCGATTAAAGAGGAAAAAGAAGGTAGTGGCTGCTTTTGTAAATCCAAGGACGGCATTTGATTCAGTAGACAGGAGGGTTTTGGGAAGATGTCTGAAAAAACCAGGGGTGAGTGAGAGGTTGGGAAAGAGGATCATGGAAATATATGAGAAAACAAGAAGTGTAGTGAGGGTGGAGAAAAGATACGGAAAGAAATTTTGGACAGCGAGGGGATAAACAAAAAAATTAACAGAGCCGATCAGGATTTAAACTCGAAACCTTTCGTTTTCTACCTTCGTAGTCTGTTACTGTGTGTTGCTTCACAATTGCTTTACCCCACATAGCAAAATGTTGGCAGTATGCCGACAGCATGCCAGTAAATTTATCTCATAATTTCGCAGCAAGATCTTTTTATGCTGTGTTTTTTATTCTATCCTATTTGATTTTTACTACCTTATAATCTGTTTTATCAATAAGTATGCCAGTTTACGTTGCATCTCAATTTTATATTTAAATATAAAACTGCATTATATATATAAAAAAAATAAAAAAAAAATAAAAATTATTAATTTTAGGACGTTACAAACATGTAAAATGATCTAATATCATCAATAATTCACTATTATTTAAACTATACAATTAGTATAAAAGAAATTTGGGTAAATTTTATTTTTAATAATTGCTTTTTAATGATTCGTTTTTAGCAGATTTTATATATAAAAATCAATAAATGTATGAAGTAAGGGTTTTTACGTCTTTAATTATATAAGTAAATTATGTCCTCATCAGCATTAATAAAGTGCGGTGTTTAATTTTCGAGAAATAAGAAGGTGTCGCTTTAGAGGACCTATTCTATGTCGATATTAGCGACTTACCTCTTCACTTCTAATAAAAATATAAAAAATGTATAGTTGTATATTCGTGAAATAAAACAAATGCGCGCGCCTGTGTTGTTCTAGTCCCTCCTCTTCTAAAAAAAGCATGTAATCGATACTCGAATCTATCGAAGTATTGTTGTCGCTTTTCCGCGATGCCGATTGGTTCTCTCTCTGCGCTTACTTCAAGAGCGGCTATCATGGCATATTTTGACAGTTGTGTGGCTAATAGTGTATAATATTAAAGTTAAATAGCGCGCGCGTAGCGTGTTTGTCCGTAATTTTTTTTATTCTTTGTGATTAGATGTTATAAAGTTAAAGATGATGAACAAGAGGAAAAGAAGGAAACAAAGAGAGAGAGAGAGAGAGAGAGAGAGAGGGAGAGGGAGAGGGAGAGGAAGAAGGAGAGGGAGAGGGAGAGGGAGAGGGAAGTAAGCCTTAAAATAATTAAACATATATTGTGTGTAACTCATCGTGCAATGAAGATAATGATAACGTGTTCGTTCGTAATTTTTTATACTTTGTGATTAGATGTTTTGTGTACAAAGTTAAAGATAATAAACAAGAGAAAAAGAAGAAGACGGAGTAAGAGAAAATTCTCTTTATTTTTAAAAATTATCTTTCTTCAGGCGCGGTTTCCGGCCAAAGAGTGAGTCCTATAAAAAAAATAAAAGAAACCTTTTTGTGCATAATTCTTAGACAAACAACTTTCATTCGAAACATTTGTTCGTGTTTCTATCCGTTTTCCAGAAATTCAGCGAAAACTTCTTTTGAGGGTAGTTTTACCTCTTTAAAAAATTAAATAATAGGGGAGGAAGGGGTGAATTTTTAGTACGGTGGTCAGAGAATTATTCAGACTAATTCTATTTAAAATACCACTATTATCAAAGAAGTTTTAACATCCTTTTTTGTATCTACTGTACTTGGATAGTATTGGGAATTTGGCCATTTTGACTCTCCGTATCTCCAAAACTAGGCCTATGCTCAGCTTTAATTTTTTTTTTTAGATTAATGTCCCATCATGTAGCATCGTTTGGCATACATTTCGACTCGAATTTCGAGGGCCACTAAAATAGGCTAAAAATGTCCGATTTGGGGGCCACTCTTTAAAAACGCTCTTTATTCGGTTCCGCGCTTTTGACACACGTCTGTTCGCGCTCATTGTCGTAACCATGACTGCCAACCTAAACGGGGGCCATCTATTGAGCCCTGTATCTTCAAGCTATTATCACGCCTTAAGCTACTATCATACTCGGCCAATTCTGACCCTTGATCTCCACACCCGGAGTCGGTGTTGTAAAAAAAAAAATAATTTTTAAGTAACTTGTCTATAAGTAATTTCGTCTATCCCTTGGGCACAAATATAAGAAAGAAACATATTTTCCCTTTGGTTTAACAATTTTCTTAATTCTAACTCTTAACTCTAACTTTTTAACTCTTAACTCTAACTTAAATCTAATTATCTTTAACTGTTACATCGTCCACGGTTTCATGTTGGCCGCCTCCCATGTTCCCTGATACGGTTTGTTTGTTATTTGGTGATTTTTAATATCTCTTATATTATTATATATCTATCATTCCGCAGGACTCGAATTACTTCATACGGCCCTTTAAATTTAGGGATAAGTTTGTTCGACGCGTCTTTAGTAGTATCTATATATTTTTGATTATAACGTAGTCACCTAAGTTGTAAGTGTGTGCCATTTTCCTTTTCTTATCGAAATATTCTTTATTGTACTTTTGACTCTTTTTTTCTATTTTCTTAGCCGCTCTATTTCTTAAGTTTACTAGATCACGATCGTTATTATTTACAATACTTTTTAGATGTTCCTGAATTTTATCGACTATTTTCCCTGGTCTACTCCGAATAAAAGCCTATTAGGCGTTTCGCCTGTCGTTTTATGTTCCGAATTTATTTATCGCAAATTCTACTTCTGCCACAACTTTATACCAGTAGTATACCTTCTCGTCGTTATTTATTAACTTACTTATCATAGGGCCTATGAATCTATTGGTACATTCTACCTGCCCCTTCACCTTCGGGGAGGCCATCGCAATACAAATGTGGCGAATGTCCTCTTTACAAAAGACCTGAAAATCGTTGGACGTAAAAGCCGTGCCTCTATCTGATATAACAATGCGTGGTCTACTGTACGTGTTAAAGGGGGTTTTTAGATTTTCCCTCGGGTGAGGAAGGAGTAAGGTGTTTCTACCCTGAAGTAATCTGACACAAACAGATTAAGCCTTTCCAAAAGGAATAAAAACAACCAGTGCACGCATAGGACCCTAAATAACTTTACCAATCTTTTTTAAAAAATTGAAAATAATATAAATCAAATTCCAATTCCTTCCCTTAATAAGACCATACAAATCAATTTCAGGGTAACCCACGGCTCCTGAGATCTTTATCCATCTGGAATCTCAGGTCATTATATTTATTACATCGCAGCAAAACATTTAAATCTTCGCATTCGCATCCACATTCACATCTCTCCGAATCCACATAGCCACATTTCTTAGGAGGGAAACTCCTAAATTATAATGGTTAGATCTTAACCTGTTAATGAGAGTGACAAAATATCTTTTGGCATTGATTTTACTAAACCAAGGCTTACGAACCGTCTCATCATAAAACTTGTCGAAGTAGAAGGAGCCCTTATAGGCGGAGTCCCGTCTAATAGAGGCCTGGGTGGTAAACCAGATCTCTTCTCTAGCGAGGGCCATTAAATCTCCAACAGAGACTTCGATATCAAAGTCTGGTTCCTCTCGAAGGCCTTCCGCCTTCTTGGCAAGCTCATCTGCAGCCTCGTTGCCAGCGATACCAACATGCGACGGGATCCAAACCAACACAACTCTCTTATCATGATCTTCCTCAAGTGCAAAAATAAGGTGTCTAGCCTCTGTAGCACATCGATTCTTGTGAACGTTTAAGAGGTTATTGCTAATTGCCGAAAGGGCTGATTTACAGTCAGACATAATGATGATATGTCCATCTCTAGAATCACGTTGAAGAATCATGAGTTCCAAGGCAGCCTTGATGGCAAAAGCCTCAGCAGTGAAAGATGAGCAATGTCTGGGCAGGCTAATTTTATATGCGATTTCCTGATTATCCAAAACCAAACTCGCGCCCGTAGCACGACAAGCAGGATCACAAGATCCATCAGTGTAGATAATCTCCGAAGAGCAGTTCATATTTTGCCAGAACATTGCCAATCAACGAATCGTCAGAGTACTTGCTGTTTGATTTTCTAACCAGCCCAATGGAGAAATCGATCGTAGGCCTGTACGTGTGGGCCTCGAAAGAGCCCTGGAATATCTCATGCTTTCTAGCACGGCCAATACTTGACCTGACAGGAATGAAGTTTTTTCAGACCCGAGATAATAAAGACAGCCTATACGTGAGCTGGCGGTATCGAACGTACATACACCTCGCTGTCGTACATCCTCTGTATCTTGTTACATCCCAGATAGCAACAAGTGTTCATTCTGAGTACATAATTGTACTCACGTTTATTAAAAACATGATGGCAAGAATAGACACAAATGCGGGCTCATATGTTGCTCAGAATGCAGACATGTTATGAAATCTATAAAAGTTTACAAAATAGTTACGGAAATCATGACGCCACCGCTAGCAAGAAGATTTTTGCTATATATTGTTTTAAAACCTGCAAAATATACATGATTATTATCAGAGCATTTAGCTTCAGTTAAGATGATGATGTCGAAATCCATAATATGCTTCGACAGCTTATTCCTGCTGCTCATATCCGCGGCAGTTCCATAGCAGTAATTTGAATATTACTGCGAGGGGAGAGACGTATTTAACCCTCTCGTTATTTCTATTCCCGGAAACGGGATAGCGCGCCGCGTTCGCGAGTGAGTGTGTTGTGCGAGAGTGTAGCGAACGCGCGGACGAGCGCAACATTTTGCGTGCGAGCGTGGCCTAGTAGACAGCGCACTGGTCTATTGAGACAAAGGTCCCGGGTTCAATTCCCGGTAGAGCTAGAAAATTTTAATCGCTCGTTCTCCTCTCGGAAGGCAATGGCAAACCACCGAGAGTATGTCTTGCCACGAAAACTTCTCTAAAAAATTGCCGTTCGAAATCGGCGTGCCGTTCGAAATCGGCGTTAAACTGTAGGTTCCGTATACAATGTGTATAATCCACGTGCGCAACACATGTATATGAAGAGAAGTCACCACGCTCGGACACGAGTAATAGGACTGAGGATGGATGGAAGATGATGATGTCGAAATCCATAATATGCTTCGACAGCTTATTCCTGCTGCTCATATCCTCGGCAGTTCCATAGCAGTAATTTGAATATTACTGCGAGGGGAGAGACGTAACCCTCTCGTTATTTCTAGCACCTGACACTTCTCGACCAAGGTCGATTTCACTAAATTCCCTTGCTTCATTGTATCTTTCAGTAACTGACTTACTCCTGTCCTGAACATGATAATTCGTAATGGTGTTTAGGAGAATTTCACGTGCCTCAGGAATTCTATGTATTAACTGAAGCATATCCGATAGTGCTTCCTTGATTAATTGACAGTCATCACGACGCTCGGGGTCTTCAGGGGGCAACCCATCACCCATCACCTCAGAAGACGCTATTCGCGATCAAGCGGCCCCATTACGAGCAGCCGATAAAAGGATGCCCCCGTTTCTCTTTCCCAATATCACCAGCGCGCAGGTCAAACTGTTTATAATACTCCTTAGAAGACCTATCAGGGACACCATGAGGTCTCTTTGATCTATTAGAGTCAGTGAACTGGCGACGAGGAAACATCACCTCTCCCGAGCGAGTCGCTGGGAGAGACGGGCACCAGACGCTCGATCTCCCTCGGAGGGACTACTGTGTTTCACAGCCTCAGAGAAGGATACGTTCCTGGCGGGGGGCAGACTCGGCCAGGCTTCCGAATTCGAGAGGACATCGTGAGGAGACACAGCGGGCCTGTCATCGCCCTCCACAATACGCCTAGCACTATAGAAAGAGACATTTTTATAAGCCATCACAATGTTAATGTTCTTATTTTTTTCAAATACAGGACAGTTTTTAAATGTGGATTTGTGTTGACCACCACAATTACGGCATTTGACCAGTCTATCACACGTACCATGCGCTTTATCGTCGCACACGATGCAACAAGTATCGCTCTTTACACAAGATTTTAGTATGGCCAAAAAGGGTAATTCTTCAGTTTAGCTACCCCAGCACAGAAATCGATGAAATTAGGCTTAATCGACGCGTTTTTGCACAAAACGACCGAATCTGGCAGAAAAAAGTGTCGCTCTGCCCCGCGAAGCGAGATATTAACAGTTAAAGTTGACGACTATCAGAGGTTATGAGACCTGTCATACCGACGAGATGTAGCGACTACGAACGTGTCCTGTGGCCATATGCGCATGCTCAGTGGCCGCACGCGCATGCAAGAGGTCACGTGACAACTGTTTGGTTGGTAAGGGTCGATATCACAGTCTCCGATTAACGTGATTCTCCGATTAAACTCACTTTCCATCTCTTTCTAACTGTCCCCCTAGAAAGAGACGAAGAGTGGGTTTAATAGGAGAATTACGTTAATCGGAGACTGTGATATCGGCCCTAAGTCAGAAGTGTAATATATAATTCGAAATGATATTCTTTCGGCGTATAAGTTAGTTGACGCGCTTTAAACACTTAAATACTTTTAAAGCGCGTCACTAACCTACATAGGTTAGTGACCCGCTTTAAATAGTTAAATACAAAATATCTGCTTTAATGAAAATCACAACTTTAAAATAATACATTCAATTTTAATTATTTATTATTGGATTCATATTAAGATCTAACATTTCTCTATCGAAAAGGCTGTAACTGTACACACGGCTGCGTCGCATTTGTCCCAATTGCTACAAAGAATAAAAAACAATATACTTGTTTGCTATAGTTATCAATTAATATTGAAAGAATTACCTCATGATTTAAATATCAATATCTACACTCAATATTGCGCTTCCTCTCAGCTGTGTATGCATTTTTTAGCGTGAAAGCTAATACTTCATGCAAAAATTCTTCCGATACCCCATTTATATATACAAAATTGACAATAATCATTCGGTTATGATCCGTAAAATTTTTATCCCAGAACATTTGCCGTATAAATTTCGGCCACGTATTTGCATTGCCAATGATGTCCTGAATCGCAAGCCACGAATTATTGTTTAATTGCTGGACTGAGTATGCCATTGTAAGATTAAGATGTGCAAGTTGTAAATGACATTGCACGTGCCTGCGACTTCACGTATGATTTTAGCGCGCTTCATTTGTTTCATTGTAGTTCTCATTTCGCGCACTTTTGCATGCGCGTGCGGCCACGGAGCATGCGTATGTGGCTGCGCGGCGAGGCATGTCTGTATTAAAGAATTACCGTATTAAAGAAATCCGTATGAAGAATTACCAAAAATATTTTCAAATCACAAACGCCGACTCCCTTAAACGTGACGATAATGTTATCCCTCTCTGATAAGACCGACTTTCTCTCCACGTTGTCTCATTTGTGTCGGTACATGCGTTCGAGGCCGACGATACCCGTTTTGTCCTGAATTACCGACCACAGGTCCTCTATCGACGAGGGCCAGTCGGATATAACGCCTCTACTTATCATAGACCGCTGTTCCATGAAAGCTTTTAATTTCTTAGGGTCGGGGAGCTTTTCAATCGTCTCCAAGGGCGAAATTTGCATAGATATGTAATTTTTAAATTTAACCTCGGCAGAAAAATGATTCAGCATAACCACCAACGTAGGGCTAATAATATACGGCAATCAGTCAAGACCATCCAAATTTTTATAAGATTCTTACCTTTTCTAGAAGAAGTTTGGTCAGGGGGGAGCCTTAACGTAATTCTCGATTTACCTCGAAAGCTACCCAAATAGCCAAGTCTGTCAAAAACAGATTTTGTAAATTATTATTTTTATTTTTTTTTATTATCTTCAGTTGACACTTTTGGATTTTTTTGATTGTCCTCAGTTGACATTTTACAAATAGCCAAAACTTAATCTAAAAACACAAATATGAAAAAATATGACAAAACTGCAATATGAAGACAATTTTTTTGCGATGAGTATTATTTAAATAACATACTTTCGGCCCTTGAAATTGTTGCTCCAAATACGTGCAACGAAACGGAGACACGATGTGTTGATTTACGAAAAATACGACTTATAAAACGAATTCTACTGTCGTGCGTTTAAAAACATATGTCGAATCAATTAACACTTATTTTGAGTGTAACAGAATCGATATTTAAGTTAAATTTTTAGATTAAGCGTGACTCCGAAAAGCGTATTGATGTTTACGTAAAGATTCCTTGAAAGGTTATGTTTTCACATATGGTTGGAAGGAAAATGGCAGACGAGAATACTCACATTTATAGAGCCTTAATGAAACGCATAAGACTGCATTACTGTTGCGTAGCACTTCGAAATCATTCCGTTTTGTCAATGCGCATGAAGCGCTTTAGTAATTCTGAACGGTTGTCTGCCCGCTCTGCGCACTAATGCGAATTGAAAAGAGATCGACACCGTTTTAATCAATGGCTTTTGCCTCATTTGTATGATGTTAGTCGGACGACTGACGCACTCATTGGTTATTAAAGAAGGATGCGCAAGAGCACACCTGTTTCTGCCTGTGCCTCTGTTATTTTGTTCTTTATATTTCCAGCAAACGAAAAAAGATTGAAAAGAATTAAAACGGGATTGCCAGG